CAATTTGGCTATTTGCAACCCTGTGAAACCGTAAACACAGACAAGTCCAGCACAATTCCTAACAAAGCTACTTAATCCACCAGACTGTCAATAATGGAGACCACCACACTTTGGGGAAATCCCCGCACAAACAAGGCAAGAAAATATTGAGCCTGCTGCAACCATAATGAACCGGGATGGGAATTGAGAAAACCAGTTCCCAGTAGTCCAATTCCTTGGACTTGTTAGTCTGCCTATCGATCCAGTTCTAGCACTCGCACTACAATCAGCTGATTTCAGTCCGCGGGTCAGAGGAGGAAACAGCGACACAGTCTAGAGCGTGGACGTTTACATTTATTGCACAAAAGGATGAGATAAACGGTAAAGTGGGAAACTCCTCACACTACTTTGGCAAGCATCTGCTAATAGAGCATGCTAACGCAAAGCTAGCTAAGAACACAGAGTGAAAGCTGAATGAATGCCGAGCCCAGCAGCCATCTTCTTTTTTTGCAGTCAGCTTTGAATTCTACTAAGACAAAGACCTTAGAGATGGAAGATTTGTGCTGGCGTGTGGAGTTGTAGCCTCGTTGTTATTTTTTATTGTTAGCTTTTTTATAGAGCAACTTATGTAACAAGTAGTATAATAAATAACCTTTTCCCAGGAGTAATTAAGTATCATACTGCATTACTTTTAAGTAAAGTGTTCTGTGAAACGTGTAATAATGGCGTTTTTAATTAACAACTCTAATCACAACAAAGAAGGTAAACACCTCAACAACCGTGGACACACATCTGACCCACAGCATGGAATTAATCTGCATGACTGTCATTTCTTTCCTGCTGCTTAGCAACGGCGGTGACTCTCAAAACAAAGTGAACAAGAACCCAGTGAGAATCGATAAGAGAACAGATAAGGTATCAAACTGATAACTGATATTGATAATGGAATCAGAATCACTACATTCTTATCAATTCCCATCACCAGTAATGAACAGAGTGCTTCAGCAAAATCCTCCCTCTGTTAACATTTGTGTTGCTCACAATAACTCACTAAAATAAAACATAAATGATAATATTAAGTATAAACACAGGTTTTTTGTTAGCTTGCTCACAGCCCTCAGAACTTTCTAGGAGCCCATGTCATCAGGTTTCCTCTACACACTGTCAAGTAAAGCAAGTAGCTGGCATGTGTTAACTTTTATTTTTAATTAATTTAAAATTATATTTAAATGAAAAAATTTAATTTGTTTCCTTCTTCAGAAAAACAAACATTTGTTTACAGGGTCTAATTCTGATCAAATGTTACAGTCCATTTCATGCACGTCCATCAGCTAAATCATCCTCTGCTGAAGCGCACCGAAATCTAGTTCGCTCTGAGTCGCGTGAGCTGGATGATTTGAACCACACTGAAACATCAGCACCTCAGAAGCTCGACACAGTGTCAAAACAGCAGTAGTGAGCTTCACATCCCTATCAGTTAATAGAAACTTAGCTGTGAGGTCTCCTATGGCTCTAAACACTGTTGTAGTTGATGGTCTTATTTGAATAGCTACCTGACAACACAAAAGCTCTTGGACTTTCTGATAGTTACCTTGTACCTTGTGATGCAAGCAGCCATTTCTTTAAAGATATTCAAATTCACTAGAACTCACCGGGACAACAAAAGAGTGCAGTCCGTGGCACACCTGATCAGGTGTGTAGAGCTGAGCATACACCACAGCATGGGTAGCAGTCTTTCCCAGGTTCCCCACCCAGAACTTTGCAGCCTCAAAGTCCGGAGAGTTGATCACGAACTCCTACAGAAGAGAACAGAAATCAGTTCAAGTGAGGAGAAATTAAAATTCCTCCATGTGACCCTCAATTAGTCAAATGAAAAGTCAGCTATTAGAGACTTACACTGTATGACCTAAGAGGTGCGCTCTCAAATGCCCTCATAATTTTAAATTAAAATTTTATTTGATTCATTATTTTATGACATGATCGCATGAAACGGCCAAAAGTCGACAGTTAAATTAAGCTCACAACTTTAACAAACTTATATAAAGTCTTAAAATGTAATGTGGTTGGTTGGAAGTGGAAGAGAAAGCTTAGCAACTTCTAGATAAGAGCCCAGATGAAGCATTTCTGGAGGGTGTAGCTGTAAAGGGGAGTTTTTCCTTCCCACTGTTGCCAGAGTGCTTGCTCATCAGGGGTGTCTGATTTTGGGGGTTTCTGTATTATTGTAAGGTCTTTATCTTACAGTATTAAATGCCTTCAGGCGACTGTCGTTGTGATTTGCCACTGTATAAATAAAATTGAATTGAACTGGATCTACAGGGCAGAGCCCCACACCGTAACCACAGTGCAGTCAGACAAATGCCATTTCCAGGCGACCACCAAACCAAGACTGCTCGATCAGATCAGCAGTAGGAGAAGCAGTATGAGAAAATACCTACTGTTAGGTATTTTAGCACCATGGGAGCATTTACTGGATATTGTTTTATAGTGACATTATGCAGGAAAACTGTCATTCAATAAGGCCCCTTTGTTTTAGTTATTTTTCTATTTGACCCAAGAATTGATGTGTGAGAATCACAGGCTGGTACAAGGTTGAAATACCACAGAGATCACTCCCTCAGCTACATTAGTTTCTTAATCTTTTAGACGCCTGTTGAAGGCCAGATGGTTTGTTTCAGATTTCACTAATGAAAGAACTTTGTTTTGTGCCTTGAAAATATGTCGCTGAGATAATCACAATTGTAGCTGAACTAATAAACTACACAAAGGATGCTTCTTCACCCAAGGGCAGGAAGACGCTCCCTTATCTTGGTCTGTACTGGTTTAAACTGATAAATCTGCTGTCTCATGAATTTTACCCTCTATATAAACTGTTGTACTTGTGAATAAAGTTGAGTCAATTTGGGAAGACAATCTAAAGCAGTCTCTGTTTTCTTGTTCTCCCAAGCTGCTCCCGAGCTCGTACTAACACGCTGAATGGCATGCTTGAACATTACTTGAGAATATATTTGACTGTGTTACAGACTAAGGGACATTCTCTGCTGATAGGTGAAGGTACATTCTCTGCTGATAGACGTCCACGCCTCGAAGGAAGTCGATCCACGGATTAGGCCTTGGAAACCGTTTCCTTCACCTACCAATCCTGGAGACCGAGCAATACTGGAAGACCATATGGGAGAAGGACGATACTTAACAACAACGCTCAGTGACCATAAGAGCAGACCACAGCAACCTCCTGAACAGGATCCAGTAACCATCACAGTGGCAAACATCCAAGAAAGAGTCTTCAGCATGAACAGCTGGATAACACCAGGCCCTGATGATCCAACCCACTGGCTGAAGAAGCAAACTGCACTCCATGAGCACCTGGCAGCACAAATGAACCAGCTGCTATGGAAAAGACATGCTCAGAAGGGCTAACGAAAGGCGAAACAGCAGCTACTGGTAGACAGAGCAGTAGCCCGAGACTGTAAGACCAGACTGACCGACCTGTGCACCGCCTGTATTGACTACAAGAAAGCCTCAATGACTCAATGCTCCACACATGGATCCTGGAATTCTTAGGGATCAAGGGGACCCTCAGAACCTACAGTGGGGATGTGAAGAACAACACTAGAGGCCAACTTCAAGCTAATAGCGCAAGTGGCATCAAGTGCACGATCTACCAAGGAGATGCTCTCTCCCCACTGTTCTTCATAAGCCTGAACCCCCTCGGTGAAGTCATCAAATCTGGCTGTGGATACCTCCTCTACATGGATGACTGTACTCCAAGAGTTCACGAGACATTGATTAACTGATCTATACCACTAGGATCTACAGCAATGACACTGGAATGTCATTCGAACATGAGAAGTGTAGTTGGATGGTAACAAAAACAGGGAATAATCAGCTAGTCAAAGGAGGACAAGCCCGACCTCAGCATGCATGAAGGGTTTCACTCCAAAGCACCCTGAGACTACACGCTAAGGCGAAGTAAGGTTGCTATGGGCTACTGTGTGTAAAAAACACTTTTCAAGATGAAACTACAAAGATCCATGAGTACATTAGGAAGATGGCCACATCCGATTATGTGTTTAGTGAATTCCTCAGGCAGCAGAAACCCAAGAAAGATGAAGAGCGAGAAGTGGAACCATCATGGAAGAAGAGGCCCCTGCATGGCATGTACAACCAGCAGACAGAAAAAGTGGCTGATATCAAAAATCCCCAGGAAGTGGTTCCTGTGGTACTCTGAGCATTTGGTGCAGTAATCCCAAAAATGGGAAGTTGGCTCCAGCAGTTCCCAGGAATGACATCCAAAACCCATCCAGATAAAGACTGCCTGCAAGGTGGTGTGTGTGTGTTTTCAGAGTGTACTGACCTGAGTAGAGGGGTCATACTTGGCCGTGGTCCTCATGGCTCTGGTGTTACTGCCATGGCTCAACTCAGTCAATGCAAAGCATCCAAAGATCTATAAGCACATATGTAACTCGATCTAAATCTATACAAAGTTTTATGAACACAACAGCAGATAGTAAGCAGTCGACTCCTTTCTCCTCTTACTCAGGATTCGCTGTCTTACCCTCATGTCTTCAGTGTTTTCAACAAATTTCTTATGTCTGCTTGACCCTGAGTTGGCAACAGTTGCTCCAAACATCTGAAACATAAAAGGTTTTGAATCTAACTGAATGACACGATAAAAGAAAAACAAATAATAACAGCTATGTGAAGATATTAAACAAATGAAAGCTTTTCCCCCAATTTTAAAAACTGATTTTAACACAACCGATCTTTATGCAGAATACCCTTTTAGTGATGTTTTGCTAAATGCATCCTGGAGAATAATAATAGTGGCTCAATCCACAAACTAGAAACTTCCTAATGTTTGTGGAAATACAAACAAACAAACCAATCACACGTTCTATGGTTTAAAATTACAGTGTTGCTTGTCGCTTGTTTTAGAGTGAAAACAGCTGTGGCTTTGCAAGTCATAAACCTTCTTAACATTGCTCAGAAACACAATCTTAGTCATCTCATATAACATACACTGTGTGTCTGTGTGAGGACATTTTACTCAAACACAATTACCCCAGGCTGAGGAAGAGCTTAGCAACCAAGGCCCAGTCATACATGCCCAGACAGTCGTCGAGGTACATCGCTTTCCAGGGATTGGCCATCGCCTCTTCCTTGGTGACAAAGTTGTACCGAAGCAGCTGCTTCATTCTGTGAATTTTCATATGGAGTTTTATTGTCTTTAGAAAGTACCGACTTACAGAACAGAGGACACGACAGGTGCTACATAACTTCAGCTGTAGTTTACCAAGTAGATACCTCAGAAAGGTCAACTCTCTCTTTTTCTCTATGGGGACATCTTCACCAGGCTGACGGGCAAACAGAGGGTCGTTCTCCAGTGTCCTGAACACATGTTGCTGTAATGTGGAAATGACCAGACAGAGTAAGACAAAGTGAAATCCACCTGACAAAATGCTGCATAGTTGATAGCCATGGCTTAATGGAAAAAAAATGAACATTAAAAGAGGTGAAATGTCTCCATGTGATCTTGTTTGCATGACATTCATTGTATAATACAGTTGTTTAGGATGAAAAATGTCAATATCACAAAGTTAAATCTAAGCTGATAGCTGCTTGAGCTTTCATAATTGAAAAGTATTTGTCGCATAATTCTGCAGATGAAAGTTGAGCCCTGCTCTGAAAACTGCCAGCGTTTGAAGAAGAGCTGCAAGAAGCTAAAGTGTTAGCCAAAGAGGAAGGCATTACGAGCGGCACAGATGTAGCAAATTCAAAGGTTGTTCTTCAGCCTGGAAATGGTAACAAGAACGTACAAGAATCCCACATTCATCTTAACATCAACTTATCCTTTATGTTAAGATTTTATTTTGGACTACTTACTTTAGGAACACTAAGGAATACTTCAAAGAACCTCCTTAATCCCACGGACACATGCTCCATAGAGGAAGCAGAGTCTGGGGACGAGGGGGCGACTCATCCTCCAGGACGGGTGAGGTCACTGAGGCAGTTAAACAAATGCTTAGTGGCAGAGCTCCTCGGGTGGATGAGGTTCACTGAGGTTCTTGAAGGTTCTGGATGTTGTAGAGCTGTCTTGGTTAACACACCTCTCCAATATTGTGTGGAGATACGGGGGCGGTACCTGAGGAGACAGTTCCCATTGGCAGGGAGGGAGACCGAAGGGTGTGCTCCAACTATAGGGGGACCGGTTCATAATTTGAATGGAAGAAGAAAAATGTTCCACTTGGGTGGTCTCAGATTTTGTGTGGCTTTTCCCAGATGCCCACTCCGGGTCAGGGACGAGTTGCTGCCCCAAGTAGAAGAGTTTAAGTATCTCAGGGTCTTGTTCACGAGTGATGGGAGCAGGGGATCAACAGACGCAGTGGTGCTGCAGCTGGAGCGATGCGGACTCAGCCCAGGATAAGCAGAGGAAATTGGATAGATGGATGGACTACTCACTTTAAATATTTCATTTTTATATTCATCCACCAGTTGGCACCACTGTTTACTAACGTAGGCAGTAATTTCACACTTTACTGTTTTCTGTAAGTGTGCCTTGCTGTTGAAATTAGAAGTGTATGTTACTTTTTATATTGCATAATAGTGAGAGTGTGTGTGTGTGTGGTGTGTGTGTGAGTGTGTGTGTGTGTGATGTTCAACTTCAAATCTTCCTTCACAGAAGGTCACACTCTGAATAATGATAAACCGTGAGTAACCTTTCAATGCTTCAAAGATATCTCAGCAGTAAGAATCAAAAGCAACAGCAGGAAGAAGAAACACGAAAAGCTGGAGGAGTACCAAGGGCTCAGAGAAGAGCTCGAGAAGATGTGGAGGGTGAAGGTAACGTTGGTCCCAGTGGTAATCGAACCAGTCGGTGCAATGGCCCTCAAGCTAGGAGAGTAGCCCCAGCATGTCTCAGGAACAACATCATATCTCTGTCCACAAGATATGATGCTGCACCGGACGTGTGTGTGTGTGTGTGTGTGTGTGTGTGTGTGTGTGTGTGTGTGTGTGTGTGTGTGTGTGTGTGTGTGTGTGTGTGTGTGTGTGTGCGCGTGCTCAGAAGCAGAATCATGGAGAAGTGTGATGATTTATTCTAAGAGAAGTGAAAACGCAATAGTTAAAGGTGAGGATGTAAATACATCATCCTGTCTATGCTCCAAGTGAAAATCTCTTGGCTTCTCAGTGGCAAGTTACAACAGTTTAGGCTTACCATATGATTTTCCTGATCTCACGCAAATGCTGTTTAATACACAATGCCGTGAGTACAGCCTGTGCTGTTACCTTGAATAGATATACATCTTCTCCATCTATAAAGCGGACCATGTCCTTCCAGCTGAAGGAGGCTTTGTTCCTGTAGACATCGAGTGGGCCGCTGGGGAGGTCAGCCACGTCACGGTTCATCATGTTTTAAGGCACTGTGCACTCTGAAGAGATACAAGACAGAAGAAAATGGGACAGTAAATGAACAGAACTAGTCCTAGCACTGGACCCTGTGAAAGCACAATTTAATGTGTGCACTGAAATATTATGCTCAACAGTACTGAATGCTGCAGTGAGGTCAAGCACAAGCACAGAGATGAGTCCAGAGTCAGAGGCCTTACTAAGACAGGTCCTGTGCTGTGATGAAAGCTGACTGAAGCGCAGTATCAGATATTTCTTTTAAGAAAGTGTACAAGTCAGATTAAATGCATTAATGTACACATTTTAGTGGCCTTGAAGATTCAATAACATAAATGTAATGCTGGGTTCAAAATTGTGCATTAATACCTGATAACTAAATACCAATATTGCACAGTATTGCACAATACCTTGTGCAATACTTTTTGTAAATAGTTAATGGTGCAATAGACCTCAATACTTGAAATGTGCAATTCACTTGTATTTTTATTCCTATTTATTCCCTTTGTATATTTTATTTATATTTGTGTGTGTGTGTGTGTGTGTGTGTGTGTGTGTGTGTGTGTGTGTGTGTGTGTATATATATATAAAAAATATTCTGTAACTGTAACTTCTGTCGGTGCTGTGCTTTTTGGAAATCGAATTTCCCAGAGGGACCCACCCGAGGGATTAATAAAGTTCTATCTTATCTTAAACTGCACACGCGCTTGATTTAAAGTATAATTTTAATGACAAGTTTTTTTCTTCGTTGGTTTAGTGACGCTATGCAGGTACAGGTCAGTCACCCACGGGAGGCCTACTGTGGCATTCACTGAGTGTCTATTTGCACACAGTCTGATTGTAGATTTGACCAAAGTCTTTAGCAAATGTTTTACAGCTAGCACATCAACAATGACTACTGCACTTCAAATAAGCTCTTTCGTGTTGATATCGGACACACAGACGGACTTTTTTACGGCTCAAGAACATCACCGACGATCAAAGACCAGCGTGACCTTTATACCTTTTTGTAACTTATCAGCTGCCAAACGCGGACCAAAGTTCAAAGCTAACAGCGTCTGGACCCGCTAATGCACGTGAAGGAGTTCCACGGCGTTGTGCTCAGCGTCACCTGCTGTGGACTGGCAGGTGTGCAAAACTAGAGAAGTGACGAAAGGAAATCCTCAAGGTTGATTCTGGTCATCTGGACGTTTTCATCGAGAGAAACGTTTCGTCACGCATCCAGGTAACTCCGTCGGTCTCAGCTGACTGCAGGTCTCCCCAACATTATAAAAGTAAAGTCTTCACTTGAATAAGCCTTTAGGTGCATACGTCACGTCACGTCACGTCTCATATCTTACCGAACGCTGCGGTTGTCACGCCGGCGTGTTGCTGGCTTCTCTGTCAGTTTCCCAACTGAGCTGTGAGCTACGCGTAAGAAGGTAAGCAGGAAAAATTACGCTTCCTAACAGCGACGACAACACTTCCTCTCTGCATCCTTCAGAATAAAAGTATCCTCTAGCGCAGTGAAAAGTAACATCATTTGTTACATTTTAGGAAATCCATGCGGAATCACGTGATCACATCGCTTATTACTAACGCTGATGTTACACTGATGTAACATATGCAAAACTCCAACGTTAAAATATCACTTTATGAGTTGATTATTAGTCTAATCTATTTTATGATGGTGATTGATAGGTTTGGGTAAACTTGTAATGCAATTGTAACCGAGGACAAGGGATGAGTAAACGGGGCAAAGAAATAATTGATCATTTATTTATTACATGAGTTAAACATACAAATTCCCAGTCGTTTCCAGACAGGACTTACAACACATCCTGCTGATATCCCAGCTGCACATGAGACTTACCACACAAACTGTGCGAAATAATACTGCAACCCGTCACACCCCGCTTAGCGACACTGCAATCGTGGCACACACTGCAAACAATTCGGGTCTCAGCGCAGCTGGGAATCAGTGCTATGTATGGCCTGTGATCTGAGAGATAAAGGGAAGTGGCACAAACAATTAAAATAAAATAAAAACAAAAGAGAGGTTAGTCCGCCCTTACAAAACTTACTCTCAATCAATAACCGCCTCTACGGCTGGACGGACTAACCAAAACAAAATTACAAATCAATCAAAAGAACAAAAAAAAAAAAAAAGGACAGCAGAGACAGCACAGCTGGAAAACAAACAACATTATCAATTAAAATATTACCCAATAAAATAGCAATTTTATAAAACCATTCAAAATCATGAAGCTAAAACAAACACTCAATATACCTACAATATTGATCAGTTTCCCTGCGCGCAGTCGATCTAGGGCTTGATCAATTCTTCTATTAAAATTCGTGGTCACACTAAAAAAGTCCAATGACACATTAAAAATAGGCACATGCAAAAGATCCAAACAAAAATGGCAAAAGTCTCTTACCGACAGTATACCCACTCGCACCTGAGTGAATTAATTGCCTCTGGTTTTTTTCCACAGAAGAGCGCTGACTTCACCCCATACACCCACTACCTTTTCACAGCTCTTCAGCCAATCACCTGGCAGAGAGCAACAAACTGCCAGGTGACACTTGTTACAGGACGATCTGATTTCCTCGTGTCAGCATTGTTCCCACATCATCATAATTAATGTTGTTCCAGGTTCAACATTGCAAGTGACCAATCACCTTCTTGTGACGTCATTCCTTTGCGACTTCGAAATACCCGCCTTCGATTATTTCGAAATACAAGTGAAGAAGCGAAAAACCGCCGCCTGTCCGCCGAATTTGAAGTCAATTTAGGATACTTTCCTTTAATAAACGGTAAGCATTATACATATGTTCCTCACTTGGCTTGCTGTTTGTTTGCTAGCGATAGGCTACTTGACGACAGCATTAGCTAACCAGTGTTCCCCAACTTTTTGGGTGTTTCGTGGCCCGGGGGTTGGGTCAGGCAAAATTGCAGTAGCTCCCCTGATCATTTTACAAACATAAGTGAAGAGAATCTGGACTAAAAGGCCTAGACTTATGGTTGTGTGCTGAATCTATGAATCAAACTATCACCTGGAAACATAATTAACTGGTCCATAGCTGTGAAACTGGACATGAGTTCTTGATTCTATGGAGATTAACAGTAATCCAGAAATTTACAAATTTGTCCTGGTACATCGCGTAAATGTTGTCCCTGGGACATCGTGTAAATGTTGTCCCTGGGACATCGTGTAAATGTTGTCCCTGGGACATCGTGTAAATGTTGTCCCTGGGACATCGTGTAAATGTTGTCCCTGGGACATCGCGTAAATGTTGTCCCTGGGACATCGTGTAGATGTTGTCCCTGGGACATCGTGTGATAGCTTGTAAATAATGGAATGAAAATTATTGATTGTTATTAACTTGTGAAAAAGAAGTGTAACAAATCCACATGTTATGTTCTTACACCCTTACAGAAACTGTGACTCCTTCACAATGTCAGGTAAATGTCAACTCATGTTGAATAATCAACCAATCAAGCCTTTTATTATCACATGCAATGTTACACGTACAACTGCAATGAAAATTTCACCCCCTTCTGACCATACATATATTGCTTAAACATCACATTGGGAAGACAGGTCGGAAACAGTTAGGAAGGTCAGAAACAATTTAATTAATAGATGAGGGAGAGGAGGAGAAAAAGAACTACAACCAGACAAAGCTCCTAGAAGACTGAAATGGATGATGGTTGCAGCATGCAAAAAGAAAATGATATCTGTTGACTACAGCATATGCTTTCTCACAGATTACCTTGTGGGAGTAGCTGGACCAAACTCTATTGGTATTTCAAGTTTGAAATCCCTGTTTGACCAGACAAACATTTCAGATGAGGTACCTCTTGACATAAAAATCCTTTTATGTTGTCATAAAACTAATGTTAAATTCTGCTTTAAATACACTTTATTGTACAATTTACTTAATGAATTGTGTTCCTTAGTTCTGTTTTTATTTATATGTATTTATTTATTTGTTTTATAAGGTAATAGATGGCCTAATCTATTTGCAGTGTGAGGTATGTTGAAAAGCTTGTTTGATCATAATGACATAGCATGTTTACGTTTTTTGTAATGTATTTGAAAACATAGGTGTATTTATGTTATTTTTATAGAATTTCCCTCACATTTATCCAATACCAAGCCAAATCACTGGAAAAATTTTGGATGGGTCCACAAGAGCACAAAGTGCATACTTTTTGAAGGTATGACTTGGACTGTGGTAACTATGTTCTTATCACAAAGGGTTTATAAGTTGCCACTATAAACAAACAGCATTTTCCAAAATTGAAGCCTTGTCAGAAGAACCTGAAAAATACCTTTCTGAAACCTTTTCTGTGTAAAGACTTGTTCAAAAGCAATGCACACAGATTAAAACATTTCTGTCTTGGCCAACTGATAAAGAACACCAAAAATTTAGTGGTGCGTGTTGAGTCTGTGGTCTTGATTTGTTTTGTACACACTATAGAAATTAATTAATGTAAACCAAAAATGACACTTTCTATATGTTTGTGTATCTGCAGAATTAATTACAAGTCTCACCTGACAAGCTTTTGCAGTTTTGCAGTGTCATTCTTGACAGAAAAACATACTTGTCACATTATTTTTATTTCCAGAAAAACATCTTTCAGATGTATGAGAAATTGATTGGAGCCTGTCTGGAAAACGGCAGCCACTGGACCTTGTTTGTAAGTTGCACAGATTTTGCACTCTCTCTAGTGCATGATACTTTTCAGTGTCCCTCATTAGGAAAGCTCAAGGCCCAAGCCTACCATATCCATCTTTTTACAAAACAGTTTTGTGACATACCCAAGAGGACCATAGTCTATATGAATTCATTTGGCGAGTCGGAGGTCAGAAAAAGTGCGGTGTTGAAAAACTGGAGGTAATTAATTAACATATTTAACATAACATATTTAATTTAATTGAAATCATTACCGAACGTGGTTATTGATTTCTCTATATGCTTTTTATTTGTAATAACTGCGATCTCTCAGCTCATTTGCTTCAGCAAGAGGCTGCACTGGAGAGTGGACCTTGTCACATGTGAGCCACCCACATCAACAGGATGGGAACTCATGTGGAGTGCATGTCATAATGGTACTGAAAACTATAGCTTTAACCTATATAAGTAATGTTTACATTTTTGCCTAGTCAGTTTTTAAAGCCTTAGAGGCAGGATGGTAAAATCTCAATTTTTTTTGTAGATTGAACCATTTCAGCAGTAATGCTTTGCTTTGGTTGCTCTGTTTTTTTTTTTTTCTCGGGGGGGGGTTAAAAACAAACAAACATTTCTTTGTTAATCTAATTCTTTTTGTTCTTTTTTTTTTTTTTTTTTTTTTCTTCGTCAATTATTAGTTTGCCCAATCTCTCATTGACGGTAAAACACAAGTGGAGGAGTACAACACTGAAATCCCAAAGCTCAGGTCCCGACGTTGCCACTACTTATTTTCCTCAATAGGTAAAGATAAAATTAGCTGCCTTCTTTTTCTCTAACATTGGAAAATGTAACTTGTACTTAAACAAATTATATTTTGCAGATCGAACTAGGAAGTGCAGTCAGTGCTGGTGTGTGATTGCAGCCAAAGACCGGGTACACTATGACATGTCCTTAGCCATATAGATTGTTTATTTAATGGACTTTGTTCATTTGTTTTTTTGTTTGTTTATTTCTTCTTCTTTTTTTTTTTTAATTCACAGGTGCAGTGCCAGAAATGTGGTGCATACAAGCACATGCGTTGTTCAAAGTCTGTTTGTGGCATCTGTATCTTCTGTGAGAGTAAGTCACAATATAACTAAACAATGTCCAAAAATGTTTAAAGTGAAATTTTTTTTCGTAATTTTGCCTTTGCACACCAGGACTGTGTAATTAAAGTGGACGTTTCAAGATCCAGTTTTTACACAAAACTATTTTAGACATAACTGTGTCGTATTGTGGGGATTTCTCTTCACAATTAAATTGATATAGTGCTGTTTATATCATTCTTCTTTATGTAACAGCACAGTGCAGCACAGCAGAGGGAAAGGAGTTGTGCAGCATAGTGGGTGGCTATACAGGAGGAGCAATAGAAGTAGCCAGTGAAGAATGTCATCAGGGAAAGCATCAGGCAGCGAATGACAAAGGAAAAGTTCCTAAGGGAGAGAACATCTGCAGCAAATCGACAAGTAACAGTGAGATAGGAAGACTGACAGTCAGAGATGAAGGTACACAGACTGAAAGAGATGAAGGTACACAGACTGAAGACAAAGAAAAGGAAACAGAAGTATACGGCACAAGTCTGAGTACAGATAATGCTGCTGCTGATGATGTTGACAGGATCGATGCAGATACAGAATTCCAAACTGATTCAGAAGGAACTAGTACAGTTTACAGAGTGCATGGTCGCTTATCTGTACCAAGCTCAAAAAAGAAAACCTACACAATAACAGAAGACGAGATCAAGCGCAGAATCAACGCAGAGAACATGTCAGTTCATGTTTTCAGAGGTTTGATTGGGGTAGATATACATTTCGTGATTTTGATGTCACCTGAAATAAATCCGGGTTACTCGTATCAATGAAGTGACAATGTGGCTGGAAATTGTGCATTTGCTGCAACATATACACAATTACACCATGTAAACAAAAGCATTTAACTTTGTGCGCATGTGTGTGTCTCTCTCTGCTCTTTTGGTGTTTGCACTTTTTCTTTTTTAGGGCCGTAAAGCCAAACTGCCCACAATGATTCTTGACAGGCCTAAGAAGGCCAAAACTAAAGTAACAGTGTTTAGTGTTCTGAGTGAAGAGGAGGCTGGGGAGCTAGCCCTCGGGTTTGCCGGAAGATTGGCCTGCGATGTCACAACAGACATGGTCTGTAAAGGCATCGACCATTCAAGTGCTGATATGACAAAGTAAGTTAGTAAAACAATATGAAAGTTGTATCTTTTTTGGTATTATTTGTCATTTCCCCGTATTTGGGTTATTGGTGTAACATTGTTAATCTTACTTTCTAATAACAGACAGACTCTTCTCAAAATCCAACACAATCTTAAACATGAGCTGACTGATTCCTCAACCTTCAGTTTGCTGACACACACCTTTGGCCCCGCTGCACTGGATTCTGTCATTTCATTCCTGTGTGAAAAACTTGATCTTGTCTCTTAAATAATGAAACCTTTTGTGACTTTTGTTTGTTCTGTAAATCAGAATCTTGAAAATTGTTCATTGTTGTTCTAAGTTTGTGTTAACTATTTGGCAAAAATGATTGGTTCCTAATCCAAACAGCATAATGACTGTTCTAACACATATCTTAAAAATGCTACAAAGAAAGAAAATTATCACATATGTTTCAATATGAATGTAATTGTGTCACACTCGGTTTGTAGTAACTTTCCTGTTTTATTTTGAGTTTTGGTATGTTTACACTGTTATTTTTATTTCCCGTGTGTTCGTCTTCCCTTATTAGTTTTACTGTATTTAATTAGTCTGATTTAATAACTTATAATTATTTACTTTCCAGTGTTTATATATGCTCCTCGTTTGGATTATTGTTTGTTTGAGTTCTGCCTGTCTTTTCTATTAAAGATTTGGACTTTTGGACTATTAGTGGACCTCGTAGGTTTTTATTCTGTTCAATTGGTAATTGACTGGGTTTAATTTAGTGGCCTGGAAAACAGGCCGGAGGGGTCTGGTCATTTTAACCCCCTAAGACCCGAAATCTTCCATGGCATGCATTTTTAATTTCTCTTTGATATTTGGGCCGATTGGAACCCGATGAATGTAAAAAGAAAGAATTACCAGGTTTTGTTTTTTTTACCTAATTTTTGTTTCTGAGAAAAATGAGAGCCACATATGAGGACATTAATTTGAAATTTCGATAGAACAGTTGCAGTATAATGTCCTCGTAACTGTATATCAGGCACTTGTTGATCAAGATTTAGTATTTTGGTCTAAATAACCCAAAATGTGATGTCCACATGTGTGGACGCCAGGCTGGAGTAAAGTGTTAGAGCTATTTATACCTATGTAAACTTTTATACACTGGTTTTTACCTGTCTTGTTTCAGAAAGGTTTAAAAGGGTAATGTCCACAGTTTATTTGTTTATTTATTTGTTTGAATTCAACATATTTTATTAAAGTAATTGAGCTTGAACACAGAAAAAACTGAATCAAATAATCATAAAATCAAATCACTTGCATATACTGAAGTCTAATCTACTCTGAGCTAATGCCGGTTTCCAACACTAATGATCGGGTGAAGGAGAGAGATGAGGGTGTGCACGGCCACTGGTGCTCTTATCCCTGTTCTTTGTGATACAATCCAACAGGAAAGCAGTCAAACCCTTGGACATTAGCCAAGTTAACGTTCACAAATATATACACACAGAGGAACTCTGAGCCCCAATGTCAGCATTAGCACAAACATGCCACTTCATACCAAATCTCAGTGTGAGGTCAGGTGTTAGTCTCATTCCATTATTCTGGCTATATTTTCTTACTCATTAATATTAAACTTATACTTAAGACTAACTATTAACAAAATCACACCCCAATAAATCTGTTATTACACTTTGTATTTAATCATAAAAAGGCTGGATGTTGAAACCTTTTACTTCTATTTTGTATGAGCCAGGATTCTCAACAGCTGATACTCTATGTCCAAAAAGTGACAGGTATCGTTTTATGGAGCAAAAAACTTAAGAGCGCATATTTGATAAATAATACCAACAATTACAAATGCAGACCTTTAATAGTAATAAGTAATCCTTTATTTATAATGCATAGCAATATAAAAATAGTAACATATGAAAATATTACAATGGGCACAGATGAATTTGTATCAAAAACAGCAACCAAGCCAAAGTAATGAATAACACACATAAATAACAACTGCTTGAGAGACCAAACAATTTCTTTTCAACTGTTCCTTGGCAGAAAGTTAAGACAGCTATTCAGCTTTAGGTTTCAATAAACAGAAGTAATGGATGCAGTCCCTTTGAAATGTCACACAAAAGTCTACTTATGCATATACTTAGCTTTAACTCTTCTCTTTTTTGTTTTGTATTCCAAAAGGTTTTCATTTTCTCCAGAGTATGTCTCTCTTTCAGTGGTTATCGACTGTTCACATTCATTTTCACAGACTGTTGGAATGTCGATGCTGGCCGAACGTTTCTTGCTAGAATACAATGGCCTAATTTTGCGTGCATTCTCTGTCGTCTTTATTTCGTACTGGCATATACTTTTGCCTACTTGTTTTGTTTTTAAGACATTTGTATGCAGTTCATCTATCATTGGAGTAATACCCTCTGGAATGAATGCCCACTGTTTAACTGTGTCTAAAACAGCATTTAGTTTTCCAACTGCATCTTCTGTGCATTTTTTGTCTGTGCTTTCAACTACAGGAGTGTCATTCAAAGTTGATAGAGGACTTTTCAGAGAGTTTTTCATTTTTTTAAAATGGCTACAAGCCACCTTCAGGCAAGCACATGTGTTATAGTGAGAGAACGTACAACAAGTGCACTGAAGTGTTTCAGCCGATGCAAAAAAACACAGATTTCCAAACAAACTTGGCATTTTTATCACTTTCAAGTCCTCACAGTGTACAAAGTAATGCCTTTCTTTCACTGCAATTCTTGCCAAGGTAGAAATGTCTGTTTCCATGTTTGGATAGATGTCATTGTCAGCCTCTGCTAATTTTGCAAGTAACACTAGATGCTTGCAAAGAAGTCCTCGTAAGCCATATGTACAGTTGCAGTAGGACTCAACAGGGCAGACGTCATACACCATGTCTTCTCTTGACTCAGATGGGACTTGATATGCATTAACTCCATGGCTGTTCTTGACTGTAATTTTAAGAGCCCAACCACTTTCCATCAGTCTTGAAGCAGAGTCTGAAACTTGAGACAAGGGTCAGCAAACCTGTTTTTCATGCGGCCCACATCTTGCAGGGTTTTTATGACTGAGAAGTAGTCGTCGGCCTTCCCTAGGAGCACTTCAATCAGATCATCCAGACGCCTATTCTTGTAGCCAGATAAAAACTGGTATTTCAGGCGGTGGAAAAATCTGAAAAACAGTTATTTGAAATGATTAGTAACTGTAATTGAAGGAATTTAAAGTTTTAATCAAGACTGTATTATTTTTTTAAAAATTGGAATACCTATTGCACACGTCTTTTATAAAGGAATGCTCTGTGCCGGTTTAGCTGATTTAGGCAAATCCACCTACTCTGTTTTTTGTTGTGATAACATAAAAAACGCTGCTAGAATTTAAAGGATTTGCCTAAAACCTGTTCTGGCAATAACATGACGAACCTACTCAGTTTAGCCTCTTGGATTAAAGCATAATATCTTTTTTTCAGCAATACAATTGAATGAGGTCAAAATAATAAATCATACCTTTCAATCACATTGTTTGTTTCAGAACGAGCGTGACTGAAGCGACGGCCGTAGTCACACCACATGTGGCCAATGCCTTCCCAGTGCTTCTGAAAATACTGGCACACCAAAGGGTATTGCTTAAATGTCTGGCAGAACTCTGCTGATGTGGCTTTAAAGTCGTCCTCCTAAGAGAATTGGATGCAACAGAATATATTTCAATCCATTTAACAGACCTATTGAAATCTTTAATATTATGTATTGAAGCCCTTTTCCTTTTATTGAATAACATTAAGAATTTTAAGTTATTAATAATATGTCGTGTTTTTGTATTAAGAAGCAATTATTTCTTCCCTTACAATGGCTAAGAAGGAACACTAAACCTATAAGCATATTTGGTTTCAGCATCTGTCTGTGAAAGAATCCCACTCACAAGTTCTACTGCACAGTGGGTGACACAATGATGGTCTGCACAGCTTAAGTACTTGTTTTGATAAGCAAGATAAGAAGCCAGTTTTAGAAATTGTTTCAAAAATCTATTTTGTATCTCTCTGTAACTTTTTTTAGCAACTGAAAGTTATTATGCTCTTAGTGTAATCAAGAAATCAAAATGTGAAATAGACAAATTACACTTACAGATGTGCAAGCTTTCAGCTTACAAAAGAAAGAAATGATTTCATTTCTCTTTTGGGTGTTAGAAAGCCCATGGACCCCGGACTCTGATTTTGAAAGCCATCGATTAACAGCCTGTGAATGTAAGAGAAAAAAAGTTAATCTGGAGAGAGAGACAGAGGAGCAGCTGTACAAAAAGCATAAAAGAAAGCTGACGTCCAAAAATAACTTTGTCACTCACTGGACAAGAGGACCTGTGCATTACAGAAATCAACCAGGCAAACATATTTTTAAATGTCAAAAAGAGCTTTGGGAAGCAGCCACCAGAAGATGAGTGCACTGTGGTCTTAAATGGATGGACATAGTCACTCAACATTTTATCCCTTTATATTCATTAACCTGAGTAGGTGAATATCACAATGAGGCAAATCATGACAACAGGACCCTGTTGTAAAAATGTGTTTCAGGTGCATCTTAGACAACGTGAAAAAAAAACAATGTGGTTTACCTGCAAGACATGGTACCAGCATAGAAGGATAGCTGACTCTGGAAAAACCTTCTGCAAAGCATTTATTTCCGCAAAGTCTTTGTCAACCATAAATGCTCTACAGAAAAAAAGAAAACACTAAATGAGATTAAACAGTATGAAAATGTTTTTGCTATCTCAAAGCACCACTTCAATGCCAAATTAAACATTTCAACTCACAAGTAGATATATAAAATACTGCATACAGCCTATAGGAATAACTTTAACAACTGGAAAGGAAAGTTTTTTGCAGCCCATGCTGCAGCTATAGCATTAGATTCTGGCATGTTATAACTTTTTGAAAAGGAATTATTTCAAAATCAATAGCTGTCAATGTATTATTTACCTCGGGGAAGTTGGGAAATGCTCACAAACTATTCCAAGAACAGTTTCCAGGGTTTTCTGACTTTCGTTGCTGACAATAGCATAGGCCACAGGGACTCCATGCCCATGATCATCTCTTACAACAAGTGTGAATAAGGGAAATGAATACTGGTTAACGCAGTGCGTGGTGTCAACAAATACTAACTGTTTTGCATAGTTCTCCATGTTTGATTTCATTACAGGTGTCTGCAAAACAATCATTAGTTCTTGGTCAGATGTGTATGGTTGATAGAAGAGAACATGTTCTTGATGTTTTCCATTAAGTAAGGTATGTACACTTTGACTGTCTCCACAGTTAAAGTGCTTCTTCCTCATCATGCAGGTTCTAACACTGTCAATGTCACGTGGTGTGACAAAATGCTCTCTGTTGTGAAGATCTCTGTGTCCATGTTCTTTGGCCCATTTATGACATTCGGTTAGTATGATGGCTGGCTTAGTTCCAAGGGAAAGCAGTTCCTCAATCTTCCTCCTCAAATCACTGGAAATATTGTTGAAATGTGCGTCTTTTGGGTCCGAAGGATCATGCCCATCATGCTTATCATATGTACGCTGCACGATGACTGTGTGGTCTTTCCAACATTTGAGTACTTTAAATGAAACATAGGCCTTACAGCCCACTGCTCTGTAGCTGTTTCGACTTTTTTTCCCAGCTCTGATGCAGTTGAATTTGTAATAGTCTCTTTTCCTGTCTTTACCTGAGGCAACATTTAAACATTTATAATGTCCATGAAGGGTTAATGAGTTCAATTTTTCTAACACAACAATGAATGGGTCCTCCTGGCATTGTGACACATGCACACAAAGTTGTGTGTCTTTTCCAGTTCTTTTTTTTTCATCATTCAGAACACTTCTTCTAATTATGTCGTCCATTTCTGGTGGAAAAATAACGAAGGTTTAATTAGTCAATATTCATTAATTCATTTTAACTTGTTGTGGGGTTTTTTGCAATACAATGTAAATATTAAATATAATATTAAAAAAATATATATATAAAATAATATAAAACAAACAGGGGCTAAAAGAAGCTAAACTTTCATATGGTATGTCTCTGGCAACTTTAACATGATGTCCCAGGGACAACATCTACGCGATGTCCCAGGGACAACATTTACGCGATGTCCCAGGGACAACATTTACGCGATGTCCCAGGGACAACATCTACGCGATGTCCCAGGGACAACATCTACGCGATGTCCCAGGGACAACATCTACGCGATGTACCAGGACAAATTTGTAAATTTCTGGATTACTGTTAATCTCCATAGAATCAAGAACTCATGTCCAGTTTCACAGCTATGGACCAGTTAATTATGTTTCCAGGTGATAGTTTGATTCATAGATTCAGCACACAACCATAAGTCTAGGCCTTTTAGTCCAGATTCTCTTCACTTATGTTTGTAAAATGATCAGGGGAGCTACTGCAATTTTGCCTGACCCAACCCCCGGGCCACGAAACACCCAAAAAGTTGGGGAACACTGGTTAGCTAATGCTGTCGTCAAGTAGCCTATCGCTAGCAAACAAACAGCAAGCCAAGTGAGGAACATATGTATAATGCTTACCGTTTATTAAAGGAAAGTATCCTAAATTGACTTCAAATTCGGCGGACAGGCGGCGGTTTTTCGCTTCTTCACTTGTATTTCGAAATACTCGAAGGCGGGTATTTCGAAGTCGCAAAGGAATGACGTCACAAGAAGGTGATTGGTCACTTGCAATGTTGAACCTGGAACAACATTAATTATGATGATGTGGGAACAATGCTGACACGAGGAAATCAGATCGTCCCTTGTTACAACCCTCCCCTTCAAAGGGCATCGGCGACCCGACGATGAGCTGAAAAGAGAGCACACTTAAAATTTTGCTCATTTTATAATGGATTGTGGCAATTTAAATGGGTTTGAGTGCTGTCCAGCAGTCTTCCTCATTGACCTACGAGACCCTTGCGTCAAGCTGGCAACATCTTCCTCCCCAGGTTCTAGGTCCCCAGAACAATCCAAATGGGGCACCCCCACATGTGTGGGACTCAACGTCCCTTCCTCCAACACTGCAGAATCGCCTCCATCTCCCTGTTCTGTAAACATCTGTTCCACTTCATCAACCATACTGTTATTTGTGGCCAACATTCTGGTTAGATCATCCTGTTTTGACATTTGTAGGCCACTATCTTGGTCTCCATCCAATTCCCTGATTGGAATGTTTCTCAACTCAGTTCGATGTACTTGTCGAAGTGGACCAGTGTGCCCAGCAGGAGCGACTGAATATACTACGCCATGATAAACGCCATGAGTTTATTTTTGATTTGACAGAAGATTGGCAAGATGGCGCCGGTGTGTGTGGCTGCTCGTCTGTCACTGCCAAGTTTGTTCCTGTTTATGTTATTTTTAATTTGTGTCATTCATGAAACAAAGTCTCTGCTGAGGTATGATCGCCAGACACTACTGGACCTCCAACCTTTGGTCCAAAATATTGTGTTGTTTGGAGCTGGTGGGCAGCAACCCCTGCCCCCATTTGCATCGGAAACCCCGGGTTACCTGTACCGGGTTCCCACGCTACCTTCCCGGCGAAAGCGTCCTCGTCGCCGGGGTAAACGAAGCGGTCGCCTGGTGAAGCTAAAGGTTTACCTAAAGAATTATTCTGCTCTTTTCCGACCAGTGCATGGATTCTTGCCAAGGCTGTTTGCGTCTCGGCGTTTTCTGGATCCTGTTGATACCTGTTTGGTGCCTGTGGTCGGCTTTGATGATGATGCTCCTCGGCCTCGCTGCCCATGCCCTCCCAGGCTAAACCTCCACTGTCAACATTATCGGAATCTGAGATCGCTGCGGCGGGTTTCTGGACCTCCTGAACCCCGAGCGCCAACTCCAGCTCCCGCTAGGATTGGCCTGGTGAACGCCAGATCACTTTTAAACAAAACTTTTGTTCTTCGGGACTTCTTCAGTTCCCGTGATCTGGATTTTCTGTGTGTGACTGAGACGTGGCTGAGTGTTGGTGAGTCCAGTGTTCTATCTGAACTTTTACCTGTGGATTGTTGCTATTTTAACTCGCCACGGACGTCAGGCAGAGGTGGAGGCACAGTGACTGTTTACAAAAAGGATTTTAAATGTAAGCAGTGTTTTCTACAGCCTTCGTTCTCCAGCTTTGAACTTGCCTCATTTGAGGTGAGTCGTACAAACCCGATTTTCTGCGCTGTCATCTATCGCCCCCCGAAATACAATAAGAACTTCATAAACGACTTTTCTGATTTTTTAGCTGGGATTATGCCCAACTATGATAGTGTTCTTATTGTTGGAGATTTTAATATACATGTATGCTGTCCTGATAAGCCACTGGTAAAGGACTTTTTAAGCCTTATTGACTCTTTTAGCCTGGTACAGTCCGTACGTGGCCCTACACATGAGCACGGACACACACTGGACCTTGTTCTGTCATATGGTCTGCCTGTCACTGACTTGGAGATTTGTGACTGTGCACTCTCAGATCATATGCCTGTGTTATTCAACGTTGGTTTGACATATACCGCAGTTAAACCTGGCGCTGCTACTCGGTGCTGTCGGGTTATTAACCCCGCCACTGCTGCGCAGTTTTCTGCTGCTTTTAATCAGCTCGGCGGGCCTTCTGACTTTGTTTCCTCTGACACAGAAGACCTACATTCCTGGTTTAATTCTTGCTGTCAAAAAATCATGGACTCTGTGGCTCCTTTAAAAACCAGGCAGCTTAAGGCTAAACCTGAGCCTTGGTTTAATGAGAGCAGTCGTGCTGTTAAGAGGGAATGTCGTCGAGCAGAACGGAGGTGGAAAAAGGATAAACTGCATGTATCATTTCAAATTCTCAAAGACTGCTGGCATCGCTACCAGAACACTGTTAAAGAGGCAAAAAGGGAATATTTTGCAAATATTATTTCTTCCAACTGTCATAACCCACGTGTGTTATTTAGGACCATTGACACTGTTCTTAATACTCCTTTGAATGTCTGTTTGGAAGTTTCTCCTGAGATTTGCAATGATTTTCTGAACTTTTTTATTGAAAAGGTTGTCACCATCAGGGCTCTTATCACAGCTCCTGACTCTGACCCCTCTGTCTCTGTCCCTTGCGCTGCTGTTTTCACTCAGTTTGAGCTTGTGACGCTCTCCTCTTTAGAGGATGTGGTTCGCCATATTAAGCCCACAGGTTCCCCACGGGATCCTGTCCCTCCACAATTCTTTAAAGAAATTTTTCCTAGTATACAACAGTATGTCCTTGACATTATTAACAGCAGTCTGTCTTCTGGTGTGGTTCCTGCAAATTTCAAACATGCAGTAGTACAGCCACTGCTTAAGAAACCTGGCCTTGATCACACAGTTTTAGCGAACTATAGGCCTATTTCCAAGCTGCCTTTAGTCTCCAAGGTTTTAGAGAAATTTGTTTTTAGTCAACTGAAAGATTTTCTAGATGAAAATGGAATCTTTGAGGTTTTTCAGTCAGGTTTTAAAACCCTTCACAGCACAGAATCTGCATTACTAAGGGTTTTTAATGACATCCTTCTGGCATGTGATTCTGGTAACCATGTTGTTCTTGTCTTGCTTGACCTAACTGCTGCCTTTGACACAGTAGACCACAATATTTTAATTTCTCGATTACATGATGTAGTGGGTATTGGTGGCACTGCACTCAATTGGTTTAGGTCTTATTTGTCAGATAGAACTTTCTCTGTCAGCCTTCTCGGTTACGAATCGTCTTCTGCTCCTCTGTCATGTGGTGTCCCACAGGGCTCAATTTTAGGGCCACTGCTCTTTTCTCTGTATCTACTGCCTCTGGGTTCTATCCTTAGAAGGCATGGGATCTCATTTCACTGTTATGCCGATGACTGCCAAATTTATTTGACACTAAAACGCAAGGATGCCATCTCCATAAAACCTCTCTTGACATGTCTAGATGACATTAAAGCTTGGTTGGCTCGAAACTTTTTAAATTTTAATAAAAAGAAAACAGAAGTGTTGGTGTTTGGACCCAGTGGTCCCTGTGAGTCCTCCTCTGTTGTTTTAGGATCCCTGGAAGTCTATTTTAAATCTGTTGTTACTGACCTTGGTTTTAAGTTGGACAGTGATTTTAAATTGGACAACCAAATCAGAGCAGTGGTGAAGTCCAGTTTTATCATTTAAGGCGACTGGCAAGACTAAAATCTTTTCTTTCGAGGCAGCACCTTGAAACAGTGATCCATGCTTTTATTTCTTCCCGCCTGGACTACTGTAACTCACTTTATGTGGGGGTCAGTCAGTCATTGCTCTCACGTCTGCAGCTGGTTCAAAATGCGGCTGCACGACTCCTAACAGGAACTCGAAAAAGAGAGCATATAACCCCCGTGCTGGCCTCTCTGCACTGGCTGCCTGTGTCTTTTAGAGTTAATTTTAAAATTCTTATGTTTGTTTTTAAATGTCTACACAGTCTTGCCCCGCCTTACCTCTCTGAGCTTCTTCATCCCCACATACCCTGTCGGTCTCTCAGGTCAGCTGACCAGCTGCTCCTGGAGGTACCGAGATCCAGGAGGAAGCTCAGAGGGGACAGGGCCTTCTCTATTGTGGCTCCAAAATTATGGAATAATTTGCCCATGCATGTTAGAGAGGCCCCTTCACTGTCCACTTTTAAATCACGTCTTAAAACCCACTTTTATTCCTTGGCTTTTAACCTCAGTGAGACTTAGTTTCTTTTTTAATGCAGTAGTTATTTAATTAATGATTTCACTCTTCTTTTATTTGTTTTTTATTTATATCTCATGTAATTTTATTTTACAGTTCCAATGTACAGCACTTTGTGTCAGCTGTGGTTGTTTTAAAGTGCTTTATAAATAAAGTTGATGATGATGATGATGATGATGACCAGGAGGAGGTCGCACTACTTGAAAGGGCGTGGGATCCCAAAAATCTTGAATTTTATTGCGACCTCTTACAGAGTGGTTTCTCATATACACCAAATCGCCCTGCTCCAAATCAGGACTAGCACATTTAGAGGAATTCAAATCTCTCTGAACCCTTCTCCTTTCTAACCGTTGCTGCACAACATCATATGCAGCAGCCAAGGACTTTTGGTGTTCCTGTACCCACTCTTCAAGAGTGACGTCCTCATCAACTTCACTGCCAACACCCAACCAAAAATCCACTGGCAACCGTGGCTCTCGCCCGAACATCAAATAATATGGAGTCATACCAGTTGACTGATGTACTGTGGTGTTATACGCATATGTGACTTGGGAGAGATGCCGCGGCCACCGGCGCTTTTGTTCAGGAGGCAGGGCACGCAGCAAGTCATGAAGTGTACGATTAAATCGTTCACATTGACCATTACCTTGTGGATGATAGGGTGTCGTCCGACTCTTCTCTATCTTGTAAATTTTACACAGCTGTTGCACCAAAGCGCTTTCAAAATTTCGCCCCTGATCAGAATGTATACGGCTTGGAGGCCCAAATAAATGAAACCAATGCTTCACTAAAGCCTCTGCCACTGTACTGGCTTGCTGATCTTTTGTAGGGACAGTCTGAGTATATTTAGAAAAGATGTCAGTCATTACCAAAATATTCTCTTTACCATCAGTTGAGGGTTCAAGTACTGTAAAATCAATTGCCAAAATTTCATGAGGCCGAGATGCAGAAATACTACCCATAAAGGTTTTAATCTTTGGCACAACGGCCTTAGAAAGAACACACCTTTCACAATCTCTGCACCATCTCTCAATATCTACATACATGTGCGGCCAATAATATCGCGAGCGCACCAACTGCAGTGTACGCTCAACCCCTTGATGGCCATGCTCATCGTGGAGTAAATGAAGGACGCGGCTCTGTAAACACTGTGGCAGCACCAGCTGGTCAACCTCCCTCACTCCATCAGGAGTATGAGTGCAGCGATACAACACAGACTCCCTTTGTTTCATCCGCCCCCATTGACGGACCAATTCCCTCGAACCCTTACCAAGACCATCTCTTTCCTTTGAATCTGGCAACCTGGCCACCTCCCAATACTTTAAGAAGGGACCAATCACAGGGTCTTGTTTCTGTAACGTACAGAGATCAGAGAAAGAACAACCAGGTAAAACACTTATCTCTGCCTGAACACTGGGAATCATCTCACACTGCACTCCAATATCATTAGATAATGGACCATCCAATTCCATTACAGTTCCATGTAGGCGGGACAATGCATCTGCATTAGCATTCTGAGCCCCAGGCCGGTATTTTATGGTCAAATCAAAAGCGGCCAGCTCTGATGCCCACCTCTGTTCTGTGGCACCTAGCTTTGCCGTGGACAGATGGCTTAGTGGGTTATTATCTGTAAATACAGTGCAACGATGACCCAAAAGATACTCCCTAAACTTTTCAGTGACGGCCCACTTGAGAGCTACAAGCTCAAGCTTCATGGAACTATAATTTCTCATATTCCTCTCTGTAGGCTTTAAGCTACGACTGGCAAAAGCTATTGGCCGCAATTTACCCTCATACTCCTGGGAAAGCACTGCCCCTAGACCCCCATAGCTTGCATCTACTTCCAATGTAAATGGCTTCTGAAAATCAGCAAAAGCAAGCACTGGTGCAGAAACCAGAGCAGCCTTGAGCTGATGAAAACTTTGTTCACACTCCAAATCCCAAGAATCCAATAACGGTTTTGGGGGGTCCTACCTTTTCTACCTGGAGGGAGGAGTGCAGAGACCAATCTATGCAAGGGAGCAGCCATGCGTGAAAAACCAGCTATGAATCTCCTATAATAACTAGCAAATCCTAAAAAGGAACGCAGTTCTGCTAGATTGCTGGGCGTTTTCCAATCCCGCACTGCAGCTATTTTATCTGGATCAGTAGAAACTCCTTTGGCAGACACCACATGCCCCAAATATTTCACTTGCCTCTGGAAAAACTGGCACTTGGAGAGTTTCACTTTAAGCCCCTCTTTATCCAGACGAGAGAAGATTTCTTCCAACCGCTCCAAATGCTGTTGCACGGAGGATGAAAAAACAATCACATCATCCAAATACAAAAGCACCGACTGATGTCTGCAATCTCCAAACAAACGCTCCATCAGGCGCTGAAATGTACTGGGTGCATTACACAAACCAAACGGCATGCAGTTGAACTCAAACAAACCAAATGGGGTACAAAATGCAGTTTTAATCTTATCCTTCTCAGCCATTTCCACCTGATTATAACCACTAGCCAGGTCCAAAGTGGAAAACCACTGAGCACCAGTCAAAGCATCCAAGGATTCTTCAATCCTTGGCAGAGGAAATGCATCCTTTCTGGTCTTGGCGTTTAACTGTCTATAATCGACACACATGCGTAGACTTCCATCCTTCTTTTGAACAAGAACTATTGGGGATGAGTACGGACTACTACTTTCTCTGATGATGCGAGCTTGCAGCAGCTGTTTGATATGATCCCTTGCCAGTTCATACTGAGACGGAGGGATTCGCCTGTATGGTTGTCGCACTGGTGTTTCATCTATCAAAGGAATTTCATGAGTGATCAATTTACTACAACCAGCATCCAACTCATTCTTGGCAAACACGCCGCTATACTTCTGCAATAAAACTTTTGCTTGCCGTTTCTCGCTCTCCTCAAGACTTTCAAATTCAGGCAGATCCAATTCCGCTGCATTGTCTGCCATTGTATGACTGGGAATATAAGCTGTACAACACTGTGAATTTACAGAGACCTGTATTTCAGAGTTACCCTCTGCTAGCACACTGGCCAGTTGAACTGTAGCAATCACCCGACGAGGTGTCAACCAGACATCAGTTTTACCCACATTAGTAACTGGAACAAAAGCCTCCCCTCCTTCTCCCTTTACCAATGAAGGAGACACCAATAGGCCTTCCGGGAGAAAACCATCATCAGGCCCGAGGGGTTCAATCAAGAGGTCAATAGGTGTATTCACAGGCATCTTTGGACAGGTAACAGGAACATAACTTTGCGTTCCAGCTGGAACACAGAAAGACTTCTTACCCTGTACTCTAACACGATGGGGTTCAGGAGAATTTGCCATGGCCTCCATCATTTGGCAGTATCTCAACGCTCTTCTCCAACCACGTGGCGCAGTCTTCAAAACTGGAGCTTCCCAGAGGTCAGAACCATATTGTTTACACAATTCAGAGTAAAGGGGGTTCAATACATTCATTCCTAACACACCAGGTACAGATGTCTTTTTCTGTGCCATGTGGCTATCTGTTGGATCTCCCACAATCAACACCCCTCGACGAGGTAGGTGAATTCCCAGGATTGTAACATCCAACTCAATATACCCAGAATAAGGAATTTGTAGGCCATTAGCTGCTTTAAGTCCCAACCAACCACAGTCTTTAAGCTTTTTATCACTGAGATGAGAAAAGTTATTTTTAAAAGAGCTTTCTGTGATTGTTGTGACCATGGACCCTGTGTCCAGCAAACATGAAATAATAACCCCACCCAAATCAACCTCCCCTTCCAAGCATTCACCAACTAGATGACCGAGTTCTACATTACTGGAGCCTTGCAACCCTCCCACCAGTGTGTGGCTCTGTGCACTGGTGGGTACTAGTTTTCCGCCACCCCAGTAGTTTGGCCATCAGCCCTAGCTGCTCTTTCATGCTGATTTCCATCAGAATTGGGTAATGTCGGGCAAAATCGGGCAATATGTCCAATTTGCTCACACCTAAAACAAATGGGTTTACCATTCACCGTCCTTCTACGTCGAGAAGTGTGATTGCTAGAAGCAGCCACCTCCTGTGGGTTTAATGCCTTAATGACCAACTCTAATTGTGTCTGTTGGGCTTTAAAAAGGGACACCAACTCAGCATATTCTGATGTTCTAGAATCTACACTTTCACAAGAAGCTTGCATATCTGCAGAGACTGAAACAGACTGATTATATCTAGACCTAAAAGGCTGATTCTCATACTGTGCCATCCACCTGGTCGCTTTGGCTCTCGCCTCACGAATCGTCCACTGTGGGTTGGCATTAATCAAATCTCTCAGCCTGATCCTCAATGTCAGATCTCTAACACCATCACAAAATTGATCACGCAGATCTTTTGAAGCTTTTCTTGCAGCTTCCTCATCCGTTTTAATAATCTGGTCCATTAAGGCCATCAAGGAATGAGAAAAGTCAATTAAGGACTCGCCTTCTAATTGTTTACGATTGAAAAATCTGCGTTGCAAAGAAATGTGGGAATCTAAGCAACTGTACATTTCTTTCAGTGTATCAAAAATTTTCTCAACATTTTCTTTCTGTTCCTTTGGCAAAAACTTTATCTCAGTGCGTGCAGTACCCTCTAAATGGTTAAAAATGATTTGAGCTTGCTCTTTTTCTGTTCTGCCTCTCGTGCGCACAAAGTCTCTCATTTGCTCAATCCACTCATCTAGAGTCAGTGAGCCCATATTGTCCAACTTCCCTGAAAATGTTGGCAACTTTCTATCCTGTTGTACGTATACCACAGGATTGGGTCTCACAGTCTCTGATTCACTTCCTGTAGCTCCTGTTGATGTAGAGGGCCTCTCTGTACCCACAGATGCTGTTTTCAAGTCTCTAAGTTCATTCTCCAACTCCTGTATACGTTGGGCCATTGTTTGTTGCTCGCTTCCCTCCATGATGGCGATCGAGACCTGGCTGCTCCTTCTCTCCAATCTTACAAACCTGTCCCTGCTGTCCTTACAAAATAACAAAACAAAATGGCCACTCCCTTGAATCCTGTCGACAACGCCAAAATGTAACCGAGGACAAGGGATGAGTAAACGGGGCAAAGAAATAATTGATCATTTATTTATTACATGAGTTAAACATACAAATTCCCAGTCGTTTCCAGACAGGACTTACAACACATCCTGCTGATATCCCAGCTGCACATGAGACTTACCACACAAACTGTGCGAAATAATACTGCAACCCGTCACACCCCGCTTAGCGACACTGCAATCGTGGCACACACTGCAAACAATTCGGGTCTCAGCGCAGCTGGGAATCAGTGCTATGTATGGCCTGTGATCTGAGAGATAAAGGGAAGTGGCACAAACAATTAAAATAAAAAAAACAAAAGAGAGGTTAGTCCGCCCTTACAAAACTTACTCTCAATCAATAACCGCCTCTACGGCTGGACGGACTAACCAAAACAAAATTACAAATCAATCAAAAGAACAAAAAAAAAGGACAGCAGAGACAGCACAGCTGGAAAACAAACAACATTATCAATTAAAATATTACCCAATAAAATAGCAATTTTATAAAACCATTCAAAATCATGAAGCTAAAACAAACACTCAATATACCTACAATATTGATCAGTTTCCCTGCGCGCAGTCGATCTAGGGCTTGATCAATTCTTCTATTAAAATTCGTGGTCACACTAAAAAAGTCCAGTGACACATTAAAAATAGGCACATGCAAAAGCAAAAGATCCAAACAAAAATGGCAAAAGTCTCTTACCGACAGTATACCCACTCGCACCTGAGTGAATTAATTGCCTCTGGTTTTTTCCACAGAAGAGCGCTGACTTCACCCCATACACCCACTACCTTTTCACAGCTCTTCAGCCAATCACCTGGCAGAGAGCAACAAACTGCCAGGTGACACTTGTTACACAATATTTATTTGTTTTAGAACAAAGGGAAACTGTCTTATACAGCACACCACAAACATACAACATATCGAGAACATTACCCCAAACTCAAACCCTACGAGTCCCTTTCCTCCCCGTCTCCACCCCCACCCTCCTTACCAACACATATATGCTTTGCAGCATAACCACAACATTCCAATGACACCACAGGTTAACGTCATGAATAAGGAGAGAGGTACAATAGGTCAGTGCTTTAAAACAAAAAGAAGAAAATTACATTAACTCGCCTATTGCACATTCCTGAGTAACCTTTTGGTCTGATGGGTAATCTTATTTTGAAAAGTCGTTCTGTCTGAAGACTATTCTGAAATACATTCGAAAATTACTTTGAAGGATATTATTACTTGCTTTGAACGTCACCTGTGCGGTTTTAAATTCAAATCAATTCCATGCATTTAATAACTTGTGAGTTTAAAAAATGATTATTTGTGCGTTCACGAAACCAAACATTATGCATAATTCTTATTGCTCTTTTTTGCATTGTGTATATTTTTTGTAGAGAACTCTTCTAAGGGTTGTCCCAGATTCCAACACAATAATTTACAGTGTGCAGTAAGGTGTGTGCAATGTTTTATTGTTCAGGACGTGCCTTGCTTTTTCCAAAATCCTTGTGGTTTTTGCCATATTGTTACATAGTGTTTGACACACACTGCCGGTCAGACGTTTGGACACAGCTTCTCATTTAATGGTTTTTTCTGTATTTTCATGAATGTTTACACTGTAGATTCTCACTGAAGGCATCAAAACTATGAATGAACAAATGGAATTATGTAGTAATTGTAGGTTGTAGGTTGTCAGAATATGAATGTCAGTTAGAAAGCACTGAAAGTATAGATAATAGTATGGGTGAATGTGCCGTGTTGCATTGAGTACTCCAGGAGAGCATCTTCATACATTGTTATTAGGGAATTCAGAGTCTTATTCTTCAGAGGACGAATGTCAGTGTCTGTCTTATAGATTTCTTCATAACACACTGTTAGACTTGTGTGTCTTTAATGCTAAAGAGTGTCTTATCTGTGACTGTCATCTTGACAATCGAGTGCGGGCAGGTTACAGAAACTTCAGCAGGTCCAAGTTCAATTATCACTCCCTCCAAGAAATACATGACACTAGGATTTTCAAGTTACTGATTAATTTAATTGCTACCTGGCACTTTAACATCACTGTCATCAGATTCACCATCAAACTGTGCAAAATGCATCATATTGTACAAACAAGCATGCATCACATCATACAGACGGCACAAATTGAACTATAAACGTGTGCCACGCAGAATAAACAAATAAACAAACATACCTTGCTGCACACAACAAAGAGGGAATGAGTCAGTTTGCAGAGCAAAGCTCTTCTTGACTTAGATCTGCGGTCCATGTCCCCTTAACCCTTGTGTGGTGTTCGTATTTTTGTTACTCAGCCAGTGTTCATGGGTCTGGTGGACCCGCAAGAGTTTTGGCTTTCCAAATTAACACTATCAAACAATTTTATGTTAAATTACTCAACAGATGTTTACTTCATCCCAATTACAAGACATATGAACAGCAAACATGGTTAATTTTTTCCCTTTACCTTTGTTAGATCACATTTATGAATTAATGTGCTTCTCGTTTTTCTTTTATATAAAATGTTATAAATAAATCAGTTATAATCAAGTGGAGTGAGTGGAAAGACACAACACATTTACACGTGAAAAAATAATTAATTGTTTAATTTTTCTTTTGAAAAAAACTGAACACGGGTCTCACAGACCCGAACACCATACAAGGGTTAAGCATAATTCATTTTTTTGTGGACTGTAAACTCCTCCCACATTTAATATTGACTCCTGGCAGGAATGCAGTGCGACACTAAAACAGGCCCCCAGGCAACACAAAATGTAAACATATTTGCGTTTTCTCATGTAGTGTTAACACAAATAAATTATTATTCATAAAAATAGGCTTACTTAAAATTGTATTTAAACAAAACACACATGCAATAATGATGTAATAATTATGGCAGTTATAAATGATGGAGTGGACTCAAGAGCAGACCTTGAGACAATCAAAGTTCAGTGCATTTCCCCCAGTGTTTCAACAGGACATCTACAAAATCGCAGGGGAAATGGGACCCCAGAGGTAAAAGGAGGCAATCCAGGGAAGGTCTGAACACAGGAAGCAACAAAGAAAGTTCCTTTAAGGCAAAAAGCTAAGGTGCCAAATAATGTCTACCTGGAATGAGTGTCACTCAGGAGCACAGACAACCTCAAACGATCACAGAAAGACAGGAAAGATAGAAACTGATGCGGAGAGAAGACAAAAGCTGGCAACATCAGCTCTGGAGAACTGAGGCACCATGAAAGATTAAGTTTAGTTGAACAAGTCTCAGCAAAGGACTACAGCAAGTATGCTTTGAAAGAACTATAGAACATTCTCTGAAAGACTGTATTGCTCAAACGAATATATTTCTATAGTTTATCACCGAGAAAAAAAAAGGTCTCCGATTATTCTGTGGGTTTACTGCTCATGTAACCTAAAGTTCACAAGGACAAATTCATCATTTGTCAAATAACTCGGAGTTTGTGCTGGAGGATGAACCTTGGTAAAACTGCCCCTCATCCTTTGCTGTTGACTCACCAAATTAATTTCATTTTTATTCTACCAAATTTACAACAGCAGCAGCAAAAGAATCACCATCATTTGTTGATGAACAGAATACAGATATATAACCATAAAGATAACAGACTCCGATGGCCCGTCTCAGCAGAACGGAGCTCCAGCTGTGAAAAGGATTAGAGCAGGATCCCCCCGAGCCTACATGCTGGTGGTGGAGATGAAGGTGGCTTGAATGGAGCTTGAGTGATGAGAGGTGGAGATGAGGTGGATTGGACAAAATGTGTGTGCAAAAGACAGATGCACAGTAAGATCTCGAGAACACAGCATGGATGCTGATTGGCCTGGAGAAGGTGATTAGCCTGGACACACAAACAGCTTGACACTGTGAGAAAGTCAATGTGATAAACCTTAGATTCATCCAGCAGCACCTGAGAGCGGACAGATGTAGGCCATAGATCTTCCTAATTGAATTTACACATAAGCTTCATACATATTTGTCATACTTTTGGGGACAAGCCATCCAAAAGGCACTTAGAGCAGCCTTCGCGTCACCAGCGGCCTGGATGTCAGTCTTCCAGTGGCATCAGTTTCCTCACTTGACAGCCTCACAAATATGGATAAAATATCACAGTTGCCCCCTAGTGGCTTCATGCAGTATAGGTATGATCCTTTTAACACTGACAAAGGCTGAGACCCTACAAAGGGTCCCTTTGTAGCAGGGGTCACTAACTCCAGTCCTCGAGGGCTGCTGTCCTGCAACCTTTCCATGTGTCCCTGTTGCAACACACCTGAATAAAATTATTGCCGTAAGTCATTAACTAGAGTATAGAACTTGACAGCATGCTGACGTGGCAGCCTCTAACCCTACTCAAGTAAATTTAAGTGTTAGGAAAAGTGTACTTTTAAAATACTTGCACCATGTTCATTCACTCATGAGCTGCTGTAACATGAATCAAAGGGCTGAACTGCCACTTCAGCATGCAGAGCACCACTTTCTATCCCTGAGTTGCCTGACGTTTTGTCAGGATGGCTTTAAGGCATCTAAACTTTTCCCTTGGCCTCACCAAACTCCTCCCACACCCGAGTTTTTGCTTCAGCCACTGCCTGAGCCGCATTCTGCTAAGCTGCCAGTACCCATCAGCTACCGCCAAAGTCCTGTAGGCTAACCAAGCCTGATTCAACGCTCTCCTCAGCTTGATGGCCCCCTTCTCTGGTGTCCACCGTCTGGTTCAGGGGTTACCACTGTGACAGGAGCTGACTGTAGCAGTCTCAGCAATGGAGGTGCTGAATATGGTCCGTTCAGTGTCCCCAGCCTCCATAAAAATACCACCAAAGCTCTTCAGGCCTCTGCCAGGCGTCCCCAGCAGAGGCCTGCTATAGCTTTGGACGTGCCACGTCTGTCCAGCGTCTTCCCTGCCACCCGATCCAACTCACCACCAGGTGGTGATCAGTTGACAGCTCCGCCCCTCTCTTCACCCAATTGTCCACGACATATGACAGCAGATCTGATGATATGATGCCACCCTTATGTTCAAACATGGTGTTCATTATGGAAAAACTGTAGTTTCCACAGAAGTCCAATAACAGAGTGTGAAAGACGCACGGCAGACACGACCACTCGCTCATGCTTTTCAGCATACTTTTATAAACCACGGTTGCTGTTACACACAACACGGCTACATCTCTGCAGCTCACTGCCGGACACATACCAACAACAACCACAACAGTCAGTCAGCACAGACTTTAGGCCGGCGAGGTGTGAGTGCAGATGCTGTTTCTAGTGTAAAGCACTTTGTTTAAATGTGCTACATAAATAAAGTTGTATTGTATTGTATGCCATGCAGGTGAGTCTGCCTCCCCTGCAGACCACGCCCTGCTCCAGTTCAGATCAGGTCCCAGTCACGCCCCTCCAGGTCTGATCTGATGCTGAGAGGAGGGAGGTTGGGGAGAGAAGGGCTTTGGCCACGACACAGTTATCTCTGTTCCTTTTAGATACACTGAAATAGGAAAGGAGGCAAATCCTTGGAAGCTGTAATCCAGTGGAAAACTCCTTTGAGGTTATACGCCAACATGGCAACACTGAGCAGACACAGATATAAAACTACTGTGTGAGTCCACAGTGTTCGGGCGATGGCTGCTCCTCTAGCAATTCTTGCTGTAATTTCCAGCTGTGGAGTCCCAGGGCAGCGCTTATGTCCTCTTCCTCATGTAAGGAAACCCCAAATGTTCCTAGGCATATTCTTTTATACTCGCCCACATGCACCCTCGTCTTCCTCCTCCCCTCTTTCTCTCTGAAAGTCACATCTCCTGAGATGACAATCACCCAGTGTCCAGACACATTATCCTCTCTCTCTGACTTTTCACC